TTGTCAATGGAGAGATTGTGAAAGAAGAGGAACAGTGTGCTGCAAAGATTTTGTTTTGCTAAAAGGTGACAAATTGAGTGCAACATTGACAAGCTTCAATGACTGCCTGTTGGTTTTGGTTGTTTTTTATCAATTTGTTTGACCTATGTTTCATTTCAACATGAGTATGAAAGTTGGACGACCGCTTGTGATTTTTCAGTTTGCTTTATTAACATTTAGTAACTGCCATTGTTTCTTACAAGAAAGTTAACAGTTTACAGTTCAACAAGGGAATCAGAAATACTTTGTCTGAAACAAAAGGTACAACATCATTTGACTGAAGGCAGTGAGATTATGCGCATTGAGCGGGGCAGCGACAGGCCAGGTGGGCTTCGGCTTCATCCGTCAGGTCAATGCTCTTCTGAAAGATGCTGATTTGATCAGAGCGGTTCAGGTTAGCACCTGAAAAAATGGAGGGAGTAAAGCAATTAGGCACTGCTTGAGATAATAAGATATTGTATAGTTCAGTTTTGTGAGATTTTTTGCAGACTCACCAACGGGCAGGCAGTGGAAGCCAACAGTGACAGGTGTGGTCCTCACTGGGACGCAGCCGGGCAGACAGCGCAGCACAGGCTCAACAGAGTAGCATTTGCACTCTTGGCCATGGAGGTTCACCTGCTTCTCCAGCTTCACAGATTCAAGCTTCATGAAACACTCTGAAAAGGGTGACAAAGGAAGATCAGCACTGTAATTATTTACTTACAACAGCAGTCTTTTTAAGAGTTTCTTGATATGATTTATTTTGCATTTTTGGACAGAAAATGATATTCTTATAGTGAAGGATGACGCAGGTATTGTATTACCAGAGGCATCATGGCAGCTCTTTCCAGCCAGAACCCAGGAATGAGTGAAGCTGACTGCGTTCATGGTCAGGCGTTTGTTGGGTGTCTGGAACTCCTGTCTGATTTCACCATCAGCCTTTCCACAGAGTCCACAAGTCTGTCCTCTCATCCAGTCCACAACTTTAACCTGGAAACACCTCAAACAGTTCAGTGTTTGCTCCATTTATAGTACGAAAATTAATACATCTAAATCTAAAAGATAGTTGTCGGATTTCTTGTATCACCTTCAGTTTGTTCAGATCAAGGAAGACCTCCTGGAGACCATAACGGGGAGCATGGAGAGCGATGCCCTCACCGCTCTGTCTAATCTGAATTTGGCCTGAAATGAATGAAAATATATAAATATGGGATTTTTTTACCTTCAACAAATTGAAATATTTGAGCATGACAGTGAAATTTGAATTAATAGAATAAAAAACCTGTGGGATGCTGATACGGCAGGTTGCTGTTGGGGATTTCTCGACCGTTAACCTTGACCTTGCTAACACTATCCTTGGGATACAGCTCCACTTCACTGTTGGAAAACAATTGAAATACATGTATTGAAGTTAATTTCTAGATTATTTTTCGGGGACAGTTCCTACAATTTACTGATAAATACTTGTTGTTCTTACAGGTTTTCGATCTTGACATAGATCTGGTTCAGTTCCTGTGTTTGATCCCTCTTCAGCAGAACAAGGAATTTAAGTTCTGGGGTGCAATCCTGAGCCAAAATCTGGAAGCAAGAGTGGGGCATCGCAATCCTGTTTTTCCTGTTGTTGAATGTGATCAGTGTGTTTTTGACCAAGGCACACTCAGCTGAAGTGGGAGAAAAAGATGAATCAGTAAGTTAACTATTTACTGATCCGCCTGATTATTAAGTAAAACCTGTTCCTTTAAATGTTTTCACCTGCATTAGCCTTGGTGAGCACGTAGGAGATCTGGTCGGCCAAGTTGTTCTGGTATGGTTCCAGCTCAGTGGCAGTATCTCCGATTGGCAGAAAAAAAGGGAGACCCACGCCAAGTTTGTACATTGTCTTCTGTAATATTGAAATATCAAAATTGTTATGAAGAGTGTATATGCAAACTGTGTGACAAAGTATGATGCAGACATTTTCTGAGTGTAAATAATGGGCGATAAAACCGCACCTTTGGTATCTTCAGAACAACATTCAGGGTTGTCTCAGAAGCAGCAGCCACAGACAGTTTGATCTGATTAGGAACATTATTGACCTTTGCCTGGGTTATTCCAAATTCCTTTGTGATGCGGGAAATGTAGTCAGAGATCCTAGGAACGCATAAAGATGAAGGTTATTTTCATTTTTTTAAATAAATGTCTGGTAGATAGGTGTGTTGGAAGATTAAGAAGAAATCATTCCAAAATAAAGTAATATGGACACAAATGTCTACATCCAGGATGCCTGATTAGTTGCTGAGAGTATTTAGAAATTCATTACTTTGTTTTCCAGGCTTTTACAACACAACATTCAACATCAAATAAAAATGTTTGAAATCGGCATAAGTTTGTTTCATTACTCTTTGGCATAACACTTCATGCTCTTTGGAAGTTTGCCCCAGGTAATCTTCAGGCGGAGTGCAGGTTCTTTACCCACAACACCAGTCTCAGCTGTGATATTAGTCTCGTATTGTTTGCACTCAAGGCCCCAGGCAAACTTAGCCTAAGAGAAATTTCAATCAGAGTTAAAATCTCAAGCATCAGACAGATTTCTAACAACTGTTGTTACATCACCAAATCAAATGTTTTTTACCATAAGTTTATGGTTGCTCAGCACCACACCATCGGCACAGATTCTCCAGTGGTCATTCTCTTCCAGGTTGGCAAAAATGATCTGCAGCCTGGCATTAGTTTTGTCAATGTAAGCTGCAATCTGGTATCCCTGAACCTTGTGGTCGACTCTCACAGCACGTATGAGAATGGTCACAGCAGGAGTGACATCATTAGCGAGGTACTTGGCCTTTAAGTGAAAATCAGAGATTGATAATAACGAAAGTTTAGATTTTTTCCAACAAGTACAACAGTCTGTAAATGTCTTGGTCTGATGACTTACCTTAGTGTAGATGGTCTCGAAGCTCCAGGCACTGCTCCTGCTGCTGGGACGTTCTCTGAAGAGGGCATGCTGCAAACAAAGAAGCCATACATTTAGCCTGCTTAAACATTTAAAAAAAATTGGCTTTCTCATCAATCTGATGATTACCTGGTGGATGTGGTTCTTGGTAAAGTTCATTGCATACAGTTGTTGCTGCAATAGAAAAAAGTAGATTCATTCTTTCACATACATTTTGGATTCTACTGGGTTTTATTTTATATGTTCAGAGGTAAAGCTGACTCACCTTGGACCTGGAGCTGGAGCTGGAGCTGGAGCTGGAGCTGGAGCTGGTTTTGGAGCTGGAGCTGGAGCTGGAGCTGGAGGAGCGTCTGCCGGAAGAACTGCTGCTGGACAAGCGAGATGAACGGCTGCTTGAAGAACTGCTGGTTGAAGCGACCTTCTTGCTGTTATGGCGAGAGGAGGAGGAGGAGCTGGAGGAGGACTTGGATGATGCAGAGGAAGAGACGCTGGGGCGAGAGCTGTGAGAACGAGAGCTGCTGGAGCTAGAGGAACTTGCTGTTTTGTTCATACCAGGTTCCAGGATTTTCTTGAGTTTCATCAGGACGTTCTTGTCCTCGAGAGGTTCGTCGTCCTCACTCATGGTAATGACTTTGATGATCTTCTCTGCTGCTTTTTCTCCAACCTGAATCTCAATTTCAATTCTCTCGACCTCTGGTCCGGCAGCTGCAAACAAATAGATAAATAGATATGTTACTTTTTAGCAACTTATTACAAAGCAACTTATAAGTAATGTAATGCCGTCTGTTAGAGACAGTTTTTTTGTTGTGTAACTAGCCCAAACAATATTGCCACTTAAAGGGTATGCTCTTTAGGCCACAGAAGAAAGAATTATACAATTCCCATGGCGCCCCAGCTAATTAATTAGAGTCGGGTGTGGGCAATTTGAAGTTGAAGACGTCGACAACAGACAGTCCTAAATCTATTTAATGTTGGGCAATTTGAAGTTGAAGACGTCGACAACAGACAGTCCTAAATCGATTTAATGTTAACCGTTTTACGTAAATCTCTCGACAATTTAAGTGTGCTAATCATTTTATTTGAGTTTGGCCTATTTCATTTAGTTTGGCTTTGATTGTCGTAAAGGCCTATTTCCTTTCTTGAATGTGTTTTGGAACAACCTTGACCGCAAGAGCCAGTCTGACAAGCCAAAGAAATCACCAGAACTGTGAGTAAAACAAAGCCAAATCATTTGAAAGCTAGTGTGTGGGAAATGTCTATTCTACAAGGCATCTAAGGCAGAAGGAAGCCGGAACATCATCCATTAACTTGCCTGGATAAACCTCAACCAAGAAAGCATGTTCTCCAATCATGGTGTAGAATGGGCACTTTTTGATGAAGGAGGCGTTGCGAGATTTAAACTCAGTGCATGCCTTGAATCCAAAGGTTTTGCTTTCAGCACACATTTTCTTCTTGAACGCCTTGGGGAGTCTCCCTTCTCTGGGAGCCGGAAGGATTTCAGATGATGCTGACTGTAAAGCAACAACAGAGGTCACAATATTCATTTAGAAAAGGGTAAATGCTCGTGTTGGAAAAGGTGGTCAGTGAATCAAACTCACCATGTCACTAGCCAGAGAGGATGCCATCCTTGAAATCTTAGTGGAGGTCTCCCTTGACATCTGTGCTTCAGCTGCAGCTGGAATCATTGGTGTGATTTTGGCAGCTGCGAGGTCTTCCACATTTCTTGCAATAGCAACAGTGTCAGTACTGTTGGAGAAAGTAAAAATAATTTAAGGACAACAGAATTTCAAACAAACGGGGTGATATATGTTACTTGGTGACAAGTACATACCGTGCAGATACAATTTCATTGACGCCACGAACAGGCAGGACCTGAAACTTGAAGTTGCCCTTAATCATGTCAATTCTTGCTTCTATCTTTGCAGGAACAATTGTGTGAACTCTGGCTCTTGACATCAGAACAGCCTGGATGAAAGCAGTATTCACTCCCATAACTGCGTACGTATGCATGGAAACACTGCAAAGGACAGAACATATCATTTTTAACAGTTCTTTTTGATAGTTAAACCGATGAGAAGAACCTTATGAGTTGTCAATGAAGCTACACCTTTATTACCTGGGGCTAATGTCAGCCCTCATGTTTATGTCAGACTTCAGAAGCTGAGAAACTTGATAGTTGGCAGGCAGAGATGGTGTAACAGTGGTTTGGACTGTGAAAAAAACATTTTTAGCATTAGTATTAGTCATTTTGTCAAATCAGCAACTTTTAAGCTACACAATTGCAACTTACATTGAACAGATGCAGCAGCCACAGCAGCAGTATAGAAACTGAGCTCCATGGGCAGACCAGTGGCGGTGGGAAAGATGCGACGAACCTCAGTAAACAGCAATGGTTTAACGTAATGCGATACGAAACCAGCCAGCAGAGCATCCAAAGCTTCCTTGCCATAAGTGCGAATTGCTTGTCCACTGGCAAGCTGTAAGCACAACATCTCTTATAAGACATCATATATTTAGTTCATAATACTTGTATTACTTAGCAGTCACTTACAGTACCGAAAATGGCGATGGTGTACCTGAATAATCTGGTTAATAATGGCTTTGTCAATGTTGGCAAACGCAATTTCCTGTCCGAATAATTTCACATACACAGAGGCCAGGGGCTGGCTGGAAGGATGAGCCATCCACTCAGAAAGCTGTGCGAAGAAGACAAGTAATTGGAACACTGCATTAAACTTCTATAAATGAAAATGTGCTTTCATCACATCATTCTTAAAGATTAAAAATATTTTCAGCATCAGAGTGATGCCTTAAACTTACAGCCTTCATAACTTGTTTCATCTTGGTCATCCTGTCAGCATTCTCAGGACCCTCTTGGATTTTCAAAAAGGCCTCCTGCATTCCCTCAGTTCTCACTCCAACCTGAAAAAAGGGAAAACAGCATTTGATGGGTAAGTACTTTTAAAATGATTTCTATGTGAAAGGTTTATATAAAGCCATATTAATGAAGCTTGTGACAATGGCTAGCTAAATGTCCTTTTTGCTAATATAATTTGACACAGTGTGTTGTGCAAAGGTGTATCAGAGTGGAGGGCACATGCCAGATATACAATAGCCTTTCAGTGTATTAGGTAACTATGAAAAACACGATTACCTCAAAAACGTCAGCATAAGCTCCTGCCATGTAGGTGCGAGCTTTGGCCACAATGGCTCTTGGCATAACAGTTGCAGCATCGTTAACATAGAAGGCGCTGGCAGCAGCACCAACCATCCAGGGGTCTGCAGGGCAAAATACAAGAACCGTCAAAACACGTATTTTAATCCAAAATCTCTGATGATAAATTATCCTAGTATGCCCTTACCGTAGTAGCTATCAAGATAGAAAGCTCTGCTGAAGCGATGGCTGAGTCTGTCGAATTTGGGACTGAGGATCTTGATAGCAACGTTACAGGCAGCAGCACTGAAAGTAGTACATTAAAAGATGATGTGATTATTGGTGCATTCATGGTACGTGTTTAAATTGCAAAAATAAAATAAAATATTTCTTACACAGAGGCAAAGTCAGGAGAGGTGCTCTTGGTCATAGCCTTCATGTAAGAGTAGACAAAGCTAGAGACCTGCAGATTTTTCTCAGTCAAGAGGGCATCAGCAAGAGTCATCACCAGACCCATGGGCAGCTTGGTCTCAAACAACACAATAGCAGCAACCATACGGAGTTCTGAGTGGAGATCCTTGTCCATGAACAGCTGAACAGCCATATCCTGGATCTAATTCACAAAGATTGGATGTACATAAAACTTCCTTAAATCCATCCATTTATTTTTAGTAATGCAAGGAATCGCAAAGTCTATGTCTCACCATCTTGGGCTCCCTCTTAGCAATGTTCCTCAGGGCCAGAACAGCCTCAATGTGAACTCTGAGTGGCAGACCAGCAGCAGTAGCACTTCCAAAGCCAGGCAGTAACTTCATGATTGGCTTCAGGCTGGCAGAATGTCCAGCATTTCCTAGAACTTTGAGAGCGAGAATGAGCCCCTCAATATCCTGCTTGCTAGCAGCCTGGACAACATGTTCATGCATGGGCTGTGGAAGGGACAGAAAAACATTCATGTCACATGTCTCGGATGTTATACCTGAATTTAATTGATATAAAACACACTTAAAAAACGATACATACCGTCACAAGCTCAGCGGCGCAGGTTGGGTTCTCTGCACAGTATTTAGCAACCATGGTGCCGTATCCTAGCATGACAATCTCACGCAGAACGGGGTTGTCTTTGATCTTTTGGTTCACAGTCAGGTCCTGAAAAGGGGTAAAAAGATTTGGGAATTGATGATTATGCATCCCAGTTTTTACATCCTTACAAATAAAAAAAAATGCAATGCTGACTTGCCTTTAGAAGCTTGATGGCCTCGAGGTCAGCTGTCACCATGTGTATAGATGACAGCAGCGCTTGAGCAGCTTCCACAATAGTCAGCTCGTTAGCAAGGAACTTCTCCTTTACGAACCTCAGAGCATCAGGAGTAGCAATGGCAGGGACAACATTCAAGATCCAGTGCCTGGGAAAAAAATAATATTATATAATTGTATTATCCATGGCACATATTTTTCATGGCTCTTGAAAGTCGCAGTTACCTGTGATCAGCTCTATTTTTGAACTGAGTCCAGAGGTCCTCGATATTCTGAGAGCTTGCCACACGCAGCAGCTGGATGAGCTCAATGAACTTCAGAGGGGCTTCTTCGTGGACCTTGGGCACGTTGAAGGTCACCAGGTGGTTCAGAATCTCAACAATCTGTCAGGACAAAAATATTTCTCACTTTAAAGTTTGTTGCTGCAAGATGAATTCAACAACAATCTGAGGGATAATTTTATGAAGTACCTGAGCCTCGACATTGGTGATCCTCAGAAGCTGGATGGGTGTCTGGAGAAGCTCTGCGCCAAACTGGTACTGCAGGTATCCACGGTGAAGATATTCAGCTTGGATAGGCTTGAATGTGGTCTTCTCAATCTCCAGGAAGGTCAGGACTTGCCTGCAAATAAACATTAGCACTATCAATCTGCACGGTGACACTTTGTGTTGAGAATAGTGCTGATGACACAGGTATTGCTCTCTTCTTTTTAATTTAAACCACATACTTAGACTCCATCTGGGCAGCACCATTCATGATGTTGATAGGTGAAAACTGGATGATCTCTGTACCATTTGCCTCCAAGAGCATAGCACCGGTGTCTGTTTGCTTGATCGTGTAGTGGATAGCAGAAGCTCCCTTCAGGGCCTTTCCTCTCTGCATTGAGAAGACCCAATATTATCACACCAGCAGTGTCAAGGAGTATACTGTATTAGAGATTATGAAGCGAGAGGGGACTTTGCACTTACAGCCTCACACTCAGTGCATCTCTCTGTGTAAGTCAAACCGATGTCCTTCACGATTCTCTCCTGGCACTCGTTCAGGTCCTTAGACTTGGTGAACATGATGCGCTCAGCCTTTGTGTCCTCACTGATGACATAGTGTGTCTTGCACACACCCTGTGTTCCAGGCTAGTTGACATAAATCCAAACACACTTCGTTAGTTTAAGTATAGTGGCATTTTGGGAGTGGAACTCGATGAAGATGAGTTATTTGTACCTCTTGCAGCTCATAGACATTTTGAGTCTTCTTGATGTTCAGCTGCAAGATGTTGAGGACTCCTCTGAAGACATTCAGCACAGTTGTAGAGATGCCAGCCGGAGCGAACACTTTTCCAACAACACCGTTGGTATACTCAAACTTGATGGGTGTCAAGAGCTGAGCCTCCAAGGCTGAAGTCAGCTTGGTAGCTGGGAGGAAATCATCTTTGGGCCAGATGCCACTGTACTCAAAGATTTCTGGGTTCACAAGCTATAAGGAAGAATGATACTTTGAGTGCATTGAACACTTGATTGTTTATAAGCCACTCATTATTCCAGTTCACTTAATATTAATCATAAATAAATTAAAAGATTTAAATTGTCTTTACCTTCAGCATGAAGGTGTCAGCAGCCTCTGCACAGATCATAACTTTGCTACGGACTTTCACTCCAGCCCGTGCCAGACCTTCTTCAGGCAGGCCGCCCATAACAACGGCCTCATATTTGTAGGCATAGGTCTTTCCAGAGGCAAACTCTGGAGCTGCATTAATAGACAAGAAAACCAACTATGAATGCATTTCTATTTCAATACAACTTTGAACTGAGAAACGTTTTATATCTATACACCATAATTATATTTTTAACATAACAGAATGACAACTTACCAAGGTTCGCCTGGTGACACGCTACAAAATAGAAAATAGAAATAAAAAGTTATTTTGATGTTAACAAAGAAAGGACAAGATATGTGAGGAAAAAAGGTATTTAACTGGAAATACTAATAATAATAACTTTATTTATATAGCACTTCTAAAAACAGAGTTTACAAAAGAACAGAAAGACGGTTGATAACGTCTATTTTTTTGCTCTATCATTGGTTATATATCAACAGCATTACACTGTCAGCAAGTGCAGAAGTGGTTTTCTTAAAAATGTAATTTATTTATGTCCTAATAAAACACAATAACAGTAGATAATTGCTACCATGTACAAATGTTCTTCTGCTATTATCACATTCTACAAAAAGCAACATTTTCAGAACTTTAATTAAATTTTAGGTTAAGTTGAATTATTTTTTAAGTGCTTAAAGACATACTCACCGGCAAAGCCCACAGCAAGAGCTACCAAAAGCACCCACATGGCTGATGAATGTGAAGAACTACAAGAAGAGGTGTCCTTATATACACAGTTTTTGCTGCTCGAAATGTATCATTAACTCAGTATCCGCCTTCATTGTCATTGATGTTACCTTGCCTTGACCATGCAGATTAGACAAACAGAGTAAAACACGAATCAAAAATGTCACACAAGTTGTCTTCACCGGATTTTTCATGACATCAGTCAGGACTGCCTGACACGAACGGCTCAATGTCCAAAATACATAGATTTTTTTCTCTCGTGGCATAACCCATTTTCAAAAAATGAAATGAAATGCTATTTTAACCTTTATGACAGTGTAACACATTTAACTACATTCACCAATAACTATTTAACCAATAATACATATCTAAAAATGGAATTT